GATAGGAAGGTTTTGTTCTTACAACACCTCACACCGCAACCATTTTATGGTGATCGTGCTACGCTGGTTTGGAATCGGGTCAATGGTTTTTTCGTATGGGCCTCAAATATCCAACGCGATTGTTTCGGTACTTTAAGCTCGATGGAAGCATCAAATTGGGTTGCTTTCACGTGTTCTCGTTCCCCATAACCTGGTGGAGACTACGTTCACTGCACACTCTGGGGTTGCTGTTTTATCGCTCCGTCATACCATAGTCGTGATGCAATAATGAGTGAGAATTTGTTCTTGTCTACTTTGAATCGGAGTGAACTTAGTGATCTCGTCGTAACCTCGTAATATTTAACGGAATATTCATTTATTTGTAACAAATCATTAGTGTTACACAGAAGTGCAAAATTCTTTCATTACCCAATGTTCTCGCCAATGACGCATGAGGATTACAGTTGAATGTCAAGGCTTTGTAGCCAGCAACGATTGCGAAATGCGTACAGAACAAATATCTTCGAAGTGTCTTAGCAGCTCAGTACACAGCCAGAGCCTCCCCAGTTACGTTTAGTTGAACTTTGACGCTGGGAAGAGCGCAAAACAGGACAATCATCCTAGTTTAACGCTTCGCCAGTATCTGTAGGCGAGGCGTCTGTAATCAGGGATGTTGATAACCTAGCATAAAGGGGCACAAAACGGCCTTGCGAGTAACCAAATTCCAAAGGATTCTCAACGTATATTCATCCATATTGGAAGTCGTGAATGGGTTCCAGCACCTAAGACCAAATAAAGATTCCCCTGGCTCAATAAAATTGATATAAAAAGAGACTAACCCTGATGGAGGTCCATCACCTGACGGTTTTCATTGACTGAGGTTTTGATTTTTGGTTGAGGAAAAATGATTGGGACCAGCCTCACAGCCGTTCTCATATAGCAAAACTCCAAGATACGAAAACTTCCCAGTACCAAAAGCACTGATATATTTAGCTAAACCTTACAATAGCAAAACTCCCCCAGTAATATGCTCTCATCGAGAAGATTCGTGATGGAGAGATGAACATCATCCTGGTAAATGTAACCTCCTAAGTTTAAGGTGATACAATTTACCATATCTGGAAAAATAGTGAAATGTTGAGGCTAAGTCGAAAGTAAATCTTTGTGCAGATGTGGAACTGGAGAAATTGGAAGCGATAATATTCTAGACTGACTTTTATCGAAAATAAACTCGAACATTATCTGGATAAACACCAGCATAATCAAGCGACTGATAAGACCACGGGATAACGGGTTTTTTTCCACTATAATGCGTTGTTTGAACTCGGTACCTGAACACGCCACCACTGGCTGTAGTACTGAGCCATGGCTTAGTCCCAGTCACATGGGACTGCGTTTGGCTGGCTTTAGCCTTTCTCTTTATAATAGCACATTTAGAGTGTATTCATGCGATAATAGACCAGTCAGTGGGTTCAGTGGAGATGCAGACTGTGGAATGTCTCATAACATTAAAGGAAAGGAACGTGTAAAGCATTCTAGCAACCCAAACCAAATGCTGTTTCAGAAATCGTCTGCAAACACCATTCCTGATCGCTGTAGAGCTGTCAGCTGCACGATTCTCAACCACCATGCGATCACATGTTGGACTATTATGTAGCAAAAATACAAGTTGGACAAATCCATTTAGAAATCTTAGTCTTCGCAACACCCGTTCCAATGTTCCCTTACAAAGTAGTACTGCTGAATACGGGATGTTCGAACCCAGATTAGAGGGTCACTGTGATCGAAGCTAAAATTTATGCGTAGCACAACTAGGAACGCAGTAGAGTAAGATGAAACTTGTGTATTTGGAGAGTTTAAATGCTATGGGAACAGCCAATCTTGTCCAGTGTTTACAGCATTAGCTGCAAAGATCATTATAAAAAGTACGCAGTATTTATTGAAAAAGAATATAGAAAAGAAATTCTGGGTTTATTTAAAAATTTTCGGGGTAGGCAATTGTCCTCCTATCTCCAAACAACCAAAGTATCACAGGAGGGCTGGTCCGCAGCTTAACCTGGCCAGCAGAAGCAAAGTTAAAAAAGCAATAAAGCACCACAATGCGCATCCTTTCGCCTGTAAAATCCCCCCAGTTGTGGTAGTAGCACACAGTTACCTTGCTCCCGACGTTATTAACTGTCTCAATCAATTCGTCAGTATGGAAATAAAACAATTTTTGACATGTCTTTAGTTATTTCTCTGGTATTCACGCTTCCTGAGCACTTTAAAAGGACCATTTGTAGCGTCCCGAGACTTCCCTGAGGACCAAATAAGACACAATACTCGGGCAGAATATGTATATTCAGCAGAGAGAAGGTGTTTGGGCTACTGGCATGGCCCGAAGGCCAGCCCACACAGCGAGGTACAAGAAGGCAAATTCAAGAGTCCAAAAGTGGCGCCTCACCAATACCGAGGGATAAACCACCATTGTATTACAGAGCCTCCCTCCTCTTTTGAACGTCGTCCCCGGCGCTCCCGCAGGTCAACCTCCTGTGTCAGCCACTACAACGTAGTCGGTGCTGTAAAGAAACACCCGCGATCCGACCGTCCCAGTCACCAAATTAGCGTGCAACTGAGGAGGTACTTGACCTCAACGTCAGTAACCCCTCTTGGCAACTTAACTGGATCTGGAGTTTCGTCCGGTTTAGGAACTTGATTCAGGAACGGGGAATTGTGCTGACCATGATGCATGTCCACGGATGGATGCAGGAACACTGGCCTAAAAGTAGATTTGGGTAAGGAAGGACTAGTGTCACTTCAGTTGTTAATATCTTTTCTGCAGAACACGGGACTGGGATAGATGCCGAGGGTAGACGTCAACTTCAACCCTTCTATTAGGGGTCATCACCGTTCTCCCATCTGTAGCATATGTACTTCTTCCGCTCCGCTGAGGTTTATCACGCAGAAGTGAAAAACAGGACACGTCCTTTAAGATCGGGTTTGTTTTCCGCCGCCACCAATGTAACGTCTCGAGACTTCCCTGCAGACCAAAGAAGGCACAATACTCGTGCAGAATACGTATATTCAGCACAAAGAAGGTATTTGGGCTACTGGCATAGCCCGAAGACCAGCCCATCCTGCGAGGCACAAGAGGGCAAACTCAAAAGCCCAAAAGTGACGCCTTACCAATACCGAGGGATAAACTATCGTCGTATTACACACTCGACTTTAATTTAAAAATTCCCCTTTGAATAAGTAGCACACATTTTTAGGAAGATAGTATTAAATTTGAGATTTCTGGATATTATAGATATGAAATGTGCATTCATGTTGATTACTGTGACTACGAATAGCCTTAAGGTAGGACTGATTTTAGTACTATGTTCTACAGTTGATATCGGCTAAGCCTTAATTTTCTCAATCAGCTGAAGTAGTTGCCGAATCCGTTGGCCATTACTCAGAGTTCTCTTTGAGGTACTGGCGTACATTTTTAAATCTAGGCATCTCCTACCTGCTGGGTTTGAACCTAAGGGTAGCGTGCAGTAAGGCGACTAGGGGAGGTTAGTTATGTATTGGTGTGCATACAGTATTTAATTTTATTTGTGTACAATTGTCCAGTATTTTTATGATAAGTTTAAGTTGCTAGTAGTTCTAAGAGCTTGACATTTAGCATTTAGTTCGAGGTAGGCGATTTTGATGTTTACAAGTTAGCCACGGGTTGGATGGCTTATAGATAAGCTATTTCAACTTTGTTTTCGAATCCGTTGATTCCAAGTAAATCAATCAAAGGTCATTCACGTTTTCTCAGAAAATACCTGGAAACTTGTTGAGTGCCAACTGCCTATTTAGGGGTAGTGGTAGCATTGTTTCATAAAGTTTTTTCTAGAAAGAGGTATCAAAGGAAATGCATTTCCCTGCTTCTGGGGCATACTCTTAATAGATTTAGTAGTCGGCTGAAGGAAGCATATCTTCAGACTGCTGTGTTACTTTTCATGGCCCTTTCCGTAGTTATTCCGATTAAACTCACTAACTGCGGAATCCGTGTTTAGTTTGGTGACATCCTTTGCTTGCAGTTGTCAATTTTAATAAACACACTTTTTTCGTTCCAGGGTTTTTGTGTTTAGTTGTTTTGCCTTATTCCAGAACACTGGTCTTTCATATGTCAAGGGGGAACGGTTTGTGCCAATACTCTCGGGACACTATTCATCCACTTGAGGCGAATCCTGCAGCAGTTCAGGGTTTTATCGCCACCTTTTTTAACTTTGGACTTTTACTATGTTGAAGGGTTCTATCACTACCCTTTTTGTTGGGACCCCATATTTTTGGTTTCCGTTGTTTCATGCACTTCATCCGATCATTCTCATCTAGTTTAACGTACAATGCCCAAAAATATTCAGCAAATGTCTGCCATTTCATAACTTTGTTTGTGTTTTTGCTTGCAGGGCTTCGGTCTTAATGCCGAGTGGTGTGCTTCGGTTTTTCGTGTTCAAGTAGCCTTAATTGGTTTTAGCAAATATGATCACAATTAGACTTCCCTGATATCTAATTCATTCGATAAAATTATGACAGTCATTTTCCGTAGTGCATTTCCTGTTTTTTGGACGGAGTGTTACGTCGTAATTGTGGTTGTTTTGAACGCTATTAGCTGCAGATCATGATTTTGTACTCATGCAATGGTATTTACGTAAACAATCCTCAAAAGTTGGCGTTTTTGTACGGGCAGATTTCCGGATGTTCCCTCCATGGGTCTCGTAAGAAATACTAGTGCTGTGGTTTCTGAACGTCTGTGGATTTTGCCTACATTTAGTTGGAAGTACTCCTGTTTTGCGGGTGTTATGGCACTTCTCCTTATGTTTGCACTAAATGCAGCTTGCACTATTTGATTACAAAGAATAGCGGAAGTGCGACTTCCTCGAGTGCTCCGAGTAGGCGTTACGGGTTTGTTAACTGGCCCTACCGTCAGCATCATCTATGCTTATGTAAACATAGATTTCATGCACAGTGTAGATGATGCTTCATTCGTACTGCCCTTCACTTAGTGAACGTTGGCGAAGTGTACGCATCTACGAAGGCGTGAGTCACCTTTAATCGTTTGGTGATAGTAACGCAATCAATTCGTATCTACCATCTGAGCGTTATAATCCGGCTTTCCTGGATAGCTGCCTTCATACGGACTAACAATTGAGCTTTTCCCCTGTAGCTTGGCGATATCAGGATTTGTCCCCTTTATTCATTAAGTATCGCTTGAGAACCTACTGATATTTATGATTTATAGAGGTCTGTGATCTTGGAAAATTCGAAACTAGTAGCAAAAATGGCCCTGTTTTTCCCAAAGGCTTTTTTGCACTTTTAGGTCTTTAATTTTCCTAATGGTACTTTAAACATTCCGTAGACTATCGAGAATGTCGAAACTTGTGAAACTGTATCATGGTTATTCCAACCTATTGGTGAAGTATCCTGTAAGAACGCAGGCCGTTTCCACAGGTAAGGAACTTATATTAACTCAATTTGCAGCCATAATTATGGGATGCGGAGATATTATTGCTCAGAAGATTGTTGAAAAACGCGAGTGGGAGCTTTCCCGCACCGTCAAATTCGGTGCTATCGGCTTGTTTGCCATAGTAAATCTGGTGATCGTTTATCGACCTTGTCATCTACAGGGTCCGACGCTTAACTTTTGGTACGCCTTTTTGGATAGGATTTATAAAGGACAGTCAGTTATACGTACTCTCAAGATGGTAGCAACCGACCAGGTTAATTTATATTGACTTTCTTAATTCTGTGTACCCTAGGTTGTGATGGCCCCCATTCTTTGTAGTTCCATCATCGGCCTGGCCGCTTTTACTAGAAATTGGTCGGTCGAAGAGGCCAAACAAAAACTTTCCACGTCGTTTTGCTCCGCTTTGAAAAAAAACTATATGGTTGGTCAATTTTTCGTTACTTTATGAAATGCATCGACAATAAAACAACCTATAAGAGCTCCTGCTAGCACCTGAAGATGCAGTTCTCACACTGTGACGCATGATGTGATATGTAAGTAGCCACTTTGTTTCATTCACAGCGAATGGAGAAGGAGCCCTTCTGGTAGCCAGAGTGATTAGTATCATCGTTTAGTCTAAAGTTGAATTTTTCTAGGCCTTATTGTCTAAAGTAATTACCAGAAAGGCGTGCCCTTTGTGTGCTGTTTTCATCATAGTGATAGTCTTCGAATTGCTTTTTGATTTTCCTCATTGCATTTATTGGGCTTTTGGTGCAGCATTATTCGGGTTGGAGACTGAAATATGGATTGAATTGTGTTGACATTAATGAATTCTGGCCAACAATTGTGTTCGATTGACGAGGACATTGAGATTTTTAGCAATTGTCGCAAATTTCACTATTTAAACAATTTTGACTATAAACGTGATCTCCAAAGTAGTGCTACTGATAAGCACTGAAGACGCATTTTCAGTTATCATCGATGTGGGTTCGAAAGGCGTAAATACTTTCAAACATGAAAGTGCTATGAGGATTTTCACTCCTTAGCTTTTGTTCCTATCTAGGTCTGGCCGCCTACACAGTTCATTAACTTCACATTTGTTCCGGTTCACTTCAGGTAACCATCAATTACTACTAACATCTACACTATAGGCTTTTTGTCGTCAACTTTGTGTCATTGTTTTGGAACAGTTTCCTCTCCTACATAAGTCAAAAGAAAAAAGTGGATTAAATTGAAGGATGCCTTTCTACTATTTCCATTTTGGCTCGTGATAGTTATTTAAAATAGAGCTGTTAGAAACGACGAGTTATAATCTTAATAAAAGTGGACCCATGGTTCCTGTTTTGTGCCTTCATTGATGATCAGTTGTGAGTAAGTAATGGTACGTAAATGATGAAGTCGATGGTAACGATGTTTGGTTTGGCACAAGGAAGATGGTAACTATTTTTCCGCTAATATGAACTTTCATGGCTCTCATCGATACATTCAAAATTCAAGCAGCGACACCATTGCTGCGTTTTACGCCAATCTCAGGCCTTTTTAATACCAACGCTGTAGATGGGGCATCAATGATCCTTAGGAGGAGGAGGAGGATTTATAAAGTGTCTCAAGAATATGATCAGTAGAGCGTCCATAAGTGGAGGAAAAGTAAGAGTGGAGTGTCATAGAGCGTGACCAAACTTTGGGTCACTTTTGGATTTGACAAACATTTTGACCATGAAAACATTTCTTTGTAAAAGTGACAAATCAAGCTAGTTTTCGGCATTTCATCATTTGGGCATGAGTACATTCAACTGGTGGTGCAAGGCCAGTCTACTCATATCTTCTAAAGTGGGTGCCAATATTATCAACTCTCGATAAATTGTGGAGACTGTGGAGGAATCGTACAAATCTATACCCTTAAATTTTAAAACTGGCCTATCTTGGAGCATACTTTTAAATTGATAGCAAAGCCACGAAGCGTGGCGGTTGTGTAGACTTCCAACTTTAAGCTAGGGATTATCCTTAAGCAAAAATAATTGGGCCTCGAAGTTTATGCGAGAAGCATGAGTTTTTCCTGGGCCAGGTATTGGATCAGTCATGATCCTACACTTACCACCGCAATCGGTTTCCGTGATTTAATTATTCTTTCACAGCCTTAAGAGAGGGGGACCTGAAATTACGGCATAAAATGTCGTTTGAAAGAGCTAAATGCATTTAAAGTGAGTGGCGTGGTAGGCGACATAGGTAGCGATAAAATGGTATTAGTGACGAGTGGGGTTTCTTGGCCATCTCATAACTGTGCTGCAAATCAGATGCTTGATTATTGGGGTAAGTGTAAAACACCCAAACCGCGAATAGTGGGCCGTCTAATTTGCTGATTCAAAGCTCGCGCGTGCATTTGTACGTCAACTTTATTGATCTCCCTGCGATAAATCAATAAATGCATGAAACACTCAAGCCACCTGTCAGTGTCGACCACAAACAGCAGACTCAAGGTCCCCTCTCAGTATGGTCGACGTTGAAAAGCTCTGGAAAAACTGGTAGGTTTGTTAATTTTTTTGCATTTAGCTCTTAATTGTCATAGCCATGCTTCAACCACATTCCTTTTATGTCATTTGACACGCACTTAGCTGCTCATGGTCTAAGTATAAACAACGGCCATGGTAAGCAGCACCCTCGTTTCTTCCTAGGTATTTTTAAAAGTGCTGTCAGGGGAAAAATTGAGTCTTGAGATTTTGCGAAGACAAAACTTCAAATCTTAAAACATAATTATTGCATTCCTGCGATTTTCATATTTTATCGGGATCTTAGCTGTCTCCTTAGATATTAGTTTACCGAGTTAATTAGTTACAAATGAAGTTACAAGCAAACCACGTGTTGGAAGTTGATAAGCTAACCCAGTTATTCACCGATCACCGTTGGACAAGCACAGGCATCTTCACATTCTGAGTATGGGTTTGAGAATATCCTATAAAAACATTAATTGCTTTCCACTCATATAACGTTTAATTATGCCTTTACGGATCCCACCGAATCTTTATTGCTCAGTATTCGTATGTTATAAATTGGCATAGAAACTATTAAAACATTCTTATTTAAATACTATTTTCCCGATCCTTGATGGATTTAGTACTATGCACCAAGATCTGAAATCGGGTCTTATGAAAAATTACTCCTAAAAGCGGTAGCCTATGGATTTGCTTGCCTGTCGGGAAGTGATTGGTGGACATAGCTTGCAAAGTATCACCAAGGTAGAAAACCGTATTTAATTAGTCACAGATTCATTTCAAGTATAATGCCTTGCCAAAAAATAGATTTACTCAAATCTGTAAATAACGTATAAATTAATTGTGCACAACTTATTGGAAACAGCTCCTCTCTCCGTGATTCACAAACTACCAATGGACAAACGAATTTCGACAACGTTTTGGGCAATTGGGGTCTTTTATATTTTTTTTTTCACGTAGTTTGCTGGACACCTATGACACTTCTGACGAATCCGACTGTAGTAGCGAGGGCAATGGAGAAGCCAACACCAATAATTCCACTATTCACACCTTAAACACAAGCGAGACACTTAACACGAGCAGCATCGACAAGACTGATCAAAACATCAATTCTGAAGGCACAGCCGCTTCTAACCCTCAAACGACCTCCACGACGGCATCCCTACTTCCAATGCAGCCACAACAGAAAAACCAGAACGCTGTGGTTCTCTCCCGCGAAGAGGCTCTGGTGCGGCTGATTGAACGAACGCGCTACCCCATCATGCAGGAGAACGGACAGCGCCGCTACGGCCCACCACCTGACTGGACAGGCCCAGCACCCGCTCGTGGCTGCGAGATCTTCATCGGCAAGATTCCACGTGATTGCTTTGAAGATGAGCTGGTCCCCGTTTTCGAAAGCGTTGGTAAGGTCTACATGTTCCGCCTCATGATGGATTTCAGTGGATGCAACCGTGGCTATGGTTTCTGTATCTACACCAATCGTGAGGACACGAGGAAAGCTGTCCAAAAACTTGACGCCTACGAGATACGCAAGTCAAAAGCCCTAGGAGTGTGTTTCTCGGTGGACAATTGTCGTCTATTCGTCGGTGGGATTCCAAAAACTAAGACAAAGGAGGAGATATTCTATGAAATGGCTAAAGTGACCGAGGGAGTGAGAGACGTCATCGTCTATCCAAGTGTAGTGGATAAAACAAGAAATCGAGGATTCGCTTTCGTAGAATATGAAAATCACAAAGCCGCTGCTATGGCGAGGCGAAAGCTTATACCCGGCAGAATATACCTGTGGGGACACCAAGTGGCTGTGGATTGGGCAGAACCAGAACGAGAGGTGGACGAGGATGTGATGTCAAAGGTAAATCTCGATCACCGTGCTTCAATTACTTATGGCCAAATTAAATAATGAGCGTGTAAATCAAACGCCACCATTGTTATTACTGAAATGGAACAGTAGGCGGATCAGATTTAATGAATGCAATTTCTATTTCTAATCTATAGCCCGTATGTTATTCCAAAAATTCAATAAAGCAATGTTGTATTGGATCATTTTAGGTCTTTATGGAGCGACTTATGTAAGAATGTAGAAAGGTATTCGTAAATTATGGGTTGCTTAGTTTCGGGCAAAATGATAACCGAAATAACCCCGTTATCTACCATTCAAAATATGGGAGCTGAAATGATGTTTGCGTGATTTTATTGTCGAAACAGGTTCGAATTCTTTATGTCCGAAACCTGATGCTGCATACCACAGAAGAGACTTTAAGAGATCAGTTCAATCTTGCTGCAGGCTTCAAAAACGCCGTTGAAAGAGTCAAGAAGATGAAGGATTATGCCTTCATCCATTTCACTGACCGAACCTTTGCCGCAAATGCACTGGCTGTCATGAATGGCAAGTTGAAATATTTGTCAAGTGTTCAGTCAATTATTGTATCCACTGTTTCCACTTGCAGCACCGAATGAGCACGACTTGCTTTAGTTAGTAACTGACAATCAAATAAGTTATGCACAAATAACAGCGAGGAAATAGTTTAGCTTTATGTAATTGCTACTTAAATGGGCTTTCGAATAAAATTCTTACCCATTAGGATAAACTTTCATAATACTGGTTCAAGTTTACTGATGCATAAACATCAGATGTGCAAATACATTTAATCGAATTGGGTTCTGCAAAGCAGAAACAAATGCAGCAATTTTTTGCCATTTAGGTACACTCGTAAAAAGTAAACACCCTTCGTCATATTACGCTTAAAGGAATTTATGCGCTTTTTCTTCGACTGAATTTCCTGTCAATCCATTCAAGCACGCTGGCTTATGCCTTTTGATGAATTTTCTACTAGAATGGTGGTTTTCAATCTCGAAAAGCTTGCAATTTTGAACTCATGCAAATGTGTTTATTATGTACCCTTTTTCTGATCACATTATTTAGGTTACTACCTAGACGGATCAAGAATTGAAGTCAGCTGGGCAAAACCGGTAGACAAAACTGATAGTCTTCGGGCAGCGCAGCGCGCAACCCTTCAATCAGGAACGTCTGGTTTCTCGTTTGACCAGGCTAACTTCATGAGCCTCCTTAAGTCTACTCCTCCCAGTTTGCCTCAGAGCCATGATGCCTTCGGTATTAACGGCCTGTCCCTTCAATATCAGCAGCAGCATCTGCACCAGCAGCAGTTCCTACTTGGTGCCCTTATAAGTAGTGCAGATGGAAGACGAAATTCCGCCATTTCCGAGAACAATTCAGTGACCACATTTCGTGATTTGTCTTCACAGACTCCAGGCGAACGAATCGTGCGTGAAGCACTTGCCATATCGCGTATACTCAATGAACCGAAAAATGTCAACTTGGGTCAACAACAGATGCCTCAAATTCCTGCCCATGTGCAACTCATACGTAGACAGCAATCAATTTTATCTCCACTACTTAACGACTATATGCACTATCAAAAGTAATTTCAAGAGTAAAAACTCTCAAGTCATATTTAAAAATATTTATACATATTGCAGAAAATGGTATGATTTAATGTTTGGTATAAGCTTCGAAGTCCCAAGAATTTTCATTGCTTAAAACCTTTATGTGCTGTAGAGGTGAATGCATGTCTTTGATAAATAAAACGTTTATGTGCAGATATTTAATCCAAACTTCAATCGTGAAATGTTTGTTAATTGCCTCTAGACAAGCCGATAAAGATGCTGACAGTATGCAGAGGATTTTGTTTGAAATGAATTCTCGAAAGCATTTGGAGCCCCAGAGGCAACTCCTACCCGCCCTAGGGCAAAACTTGATTGATGTATGTTTGCAAGTATTATATGGACTATGGGTCCAAAAATATGTTAAAATTAATTGTTTTTGTTTTCTTTAGCCAACTTACAGTCAGAATGATTCATTTAATTACACCTACCAAATCAATAATCATCTTTTGATGTCCAACCCTCTAATGTCAAAGCCACCCACACATCTGCCAATGAATAATGCATTACAAAATCAGCAAAGCATGTGGCCTGATCCTGTGACGATTCAAAACAGACCCCGACAAGTGGAAGGGATTAGCCTGGATCCCCATTCATGCCGCTCACCACCCTTCAATGCGACGGCGCCCGTTAATGATGCCCAAAATGCAATGACTAGTCTTGAAAACCATTTAAGCAAAACCTCGCTCAGTCAAGGTTTCAGAAATAGATTCAATCAGACATCACTTGGCGATGGCTTAGGTAAGACACTCTTGACACGTGCATTAAACATCAGTTGACTCTCTATCTATTTGCACCGGTCCGTGCCCGTTGGCTACATACCATAGGTGCCTCAATGGTAGGTTCGCTTTTAGGGTATTGAGTAATTAAATTTTGGAGACAAGTTGTTTTGCCCAAGCAGACTGAACAGAACACTAAATCTTCTTAGATAAGCGATAGTTTGACGTACTTGTCTTTTCATTGTTATTGATGATGACTATTGCAAATCCTCGCTAACAGTTCACATGAGATTCTACTGGCGTAGAACCTGCACCTAATTTTATAAAGATTCATTAAAGTACTAATCTCCCATTCTTGTGAAATGAATCTAACGTTTTTAAAGGACGCATTAATTATATCAGTCAACAGTGGTACACCCTGGCCTGTAATAGGGTAAATAATTAAACCACGCATTATTCGTAATCACACGAAGCTTAAGCAGTATTATCACATTATAGGTTTAGACCTATTCCAGAAAAAGGACAGGATTAATTGCAATTATGATCAGAGTGATTTGGTAATCACGTCAGCTCAATGCGCAAATTTGCAATCAAACATTGATTCAATCAACCATTCGATTTTCAATACTCAGTTCGCAACGCAGAGAATGGGCGAACCGCCAACAGTCAATTCTCTTTTTACTAATACACAGATGCAATTAAGTCTAACTGAGAAACTCCGTCGACGTCAAGCCGCAATACAACAATTACCCAAAGGTTTTAGCGAGTTTCCGATACCCCAAATTACACAGACCCCTGAAAACTTACTACTTGATCAAACGAATCCCCCCTCCTTACTGCCCCTTCTGACAAACCACATCGACTTTGTGAATGATCAAGGGTATCGGCTGGCCTCTCCCGGATTACAGGAAACGATGTCAAGTTCTCCCATCGAAGTGCCTGATTTAAAATTTTCTGTTGATGAATTAATCATGGACGACGAGCAAAGATTTCAATTAACCCCAACAAATAAGTTAAGTTAACGATCAATGCTCGAGGCCCTTTGTTTTATGAAAGAACGGTCGAACAGATGTTAATAGTGGGAAAATTTAATGCATTGAGAAGTACGTTTTGCGTTACACTCAATTTTTCAGTCTGATAAGCCAGATATCCGTTTTCTTCACGCGTTGAGACCTGAATCAAATGGACAATGGCGAATTTAATCGTCTTGTCTGATTTCACAGTCCCTTCATGTACAAGATGACTTAATGAATATGAATGAAGAGGTGAAACCGAAATCAGTGCTTATCACATGCAGATGTGTCTGCAATCATCGCAAATATATGTTTGTGTTGTGCAGAAATCAGGTTCCATCCCAATCAAAGAGCTAACCACCGTCTGCCATCCAGAAGTCAAGCTGAAAATCTAATCACTACATTTCTGCCATAACCTACGTTTCTTTTACTGTTCAAAATTCTAATCTAATTGCATCGAACTGTTAAGAATTTGAATACCCATCTTGACACCTGACTTGAGTTTTCGAAAGAATATACGATTCCTTCCTAAAAAGCCTTTTAAACTAGCTCTGGCAATATGGATTCAGGTGACCAAAAAAGTTCGAGCGGCTTCCGTTATAGCTCGCCGTTCTGACTCGGTGTAATTTGTGGAGACTTGTAAAATGCATGCAG